GTGTGTGTGTGTGTGTGTGTGTGTGTGTGTGTGTGTGTGTGTGTGTGTGTGTGTGTGTGTGTGTGTGTGTGTGTGTGTGTGTGTGTGTGTGTGTGTGTGTGTGTGTGTGTGTTGTGTGTGTGTGTGTGTGTGTGTGTGTGTGTGTGTTGTGTGTGTGTGTGTGTGTGTGTGTGTGTGTGTGTGTGTGTGTGTGTGTGTGTGTGTGTGTGTTGTGTGTGTGTGTGTGTGTGTGTGTGTGTGTGTGTGTGTGTGTGTGTGTGTGTGTGTGTGTGTGTGTGTGTGTGTGTGTGTGTGTGTGTGTGTGTGTGTGTGTGTGTGTGTGTGTGTGTGTGTGTGTGTGTGTGTGTGTGTGTGTGTGTGTGTGTGTGTGTGTGTGTGTGTGTGTGTGTTGTGTGTGTGTGTGTGTGTGTGTGTGTGTGTGTGTGTGTGTGTGTGTGGTGTGTGTGTGTGTGTGTGTGTGTGTGTGTGTGTGTGTGTGTGTGTGTGTGTGTGTGTGTGTGTGTGTGTGTGTGTGTGTGTGTGTGTGTGTGTGTGTGTGTGTGTGTGTGTGTGTGTGTGTGTGTGTGTGTGTGTGTGTGTGTGTGTGTGTGTGTGTGTGTGTGTGTGTGTGTGTGTGTGTGTGTGTGTGTGTGTGTGTGTGTGTGTGTGTGTGTGTGTGTGTGTGTGTGTGTGTGTGTGTGTTGTGTACCTTCACACGTGGGGGAGTGTGTGTTGGAGGTGAATCCACTTTCACACAGACACATGAAGGATCCTTCGGTGTTCAGACACTCGCCGTGAGGAGAACACAAGTCCGACTCTGACTCTGACTCCGAGTCCGAGTCCGAGTGTGTGTGTGAGTGTGTGTGTGAGTGTGTGTGTGAGTGTGTGTGTGTGTGTTCTCCACACACTCGTCTATGTCTGAAACACAAACACACACATGAATAAAGAGAGAGAAGAAGAGGTTAAATTGTTCAAGTGTCAAGTCTTCAAGAACCTCAGAACTTTTGTAACTCTGCGTCAAAACGCCGCAGTCAGTTCTGCTCTGTGATTGGTCGTCTCTACATCGTCTCTACACACACTTCCTGTTCTTCACTTTCCTGCTTCATTTTGTAAAACAAACTCCAGGTTTAATCGACGAGTCGACAGAAACATAAATCTGCCTCACGTCTGAGTCTCGTCTGAAAAACGTCAAACATAAATATTCTCCCTCCAGGTTCTTCTTCTTCTCTGGGGTCGAGTCTCAGGAGCATCAGTCTGAGCAGAGACTCACAGACTTCCCTCACCCCAGACACTTCCTCCAGCTCCTCTCCACATGGAGCAGCGGCTCTACTCCGAGCTCCTCACTCTGTCTCTAAGGGAGACGCCCGGACGCCCTGCGGAGGAAACTCATCTGTGTCTCTTGTATCGTGGATCTGGTCCTTCGGGTCATGACCAGAGGTGAGGGGAGGAACAGAGACTCGGCTCCTCTTCACCACAACGGTCCAAGATTAAACTCTAACACAGAGAGGAGGAGGAGCAGGTTCTTGTCTCCATGAGGAGGTGGGTTCAGAGAGATGAATCTGGATCTGTGTTTGTCAGGATGAATCTGTGGAACATCTGAACTCAGAACCTGCTCCAGACCAGATGAAGAACACTGTTCCACCAATCAGAGACGAGAATCCACAGAGGGACGTTAAAAGAGCGAGAACCTCCAGAGTCTACAGACCTGCCCAGGAGAAGGTCAGCGACTAAACCAGAACTAAACCAAGGTCCGGCCTTTCCCTGATCTAAACCCGGTCTAACCCCGACCTTTCCCCGACCTTTCCCCGACCTCTCCGCGGTCTCTCTGCGGTCTAAACCCGGTCTCTCCGTGGTCTAAACCCGGTCTCTCCGCGGTCTCTCTACGGTCTAAACCCGGTCTCTCCGCGGTCTCTCTGCGGTCTAAACCCGGTCTCTCCGCGGTCTCTCTGCGGTCTAAACCCGGTCTCTCCGCGGTCTCTCCGCGGTCTCTCTCACCGGTGCAGGTGGTCCTGTTGTCGGGGCCCAGTCCTTCTCTGAAGCCGTTGGGGCAGGTACAGGAGTAAGAGCCGAGGTTGTTCACACAGTCTCCTCCAGGACCACAGGGGGCAGCGACACACTCGTCCACGTCTGAAACAACAACACCTCACATGTTCTAATGTGTGTCAGGTCCCTCCATGTGTGTCAGGTGCCCTCCCGTGGTGTGTGTGTGTATTGTGCCTGCGTGTATTGCGTGTGTCTGTGTGTGCATGTCTGTGTGTATAGTGTGTATGTGTGTATTGTGTGTGTGTGTGCGTGGTGTGTGTGCATATGTGTCTTTATAGTGTGTGTGTATAACGTGTGTGTGTATAGTGTGTGTGTATAGTGTGTGTGTGTGTGTGTGGTGTGTGTGTGTGTATATAGTGTGTGTATAGTGTGTGTGTGTGTATATAGTGTGTGTGTGTATAGTGTGTGTGTGTATGTGTGTGTGTATATATAGTGTGTGTGTGTGTGTGTATAGTGTGTGTGTATAGTGTGTGTGTGTGCGTATAGTGTGTGTGTGTGTGTATAGTGTGTGTGTATAGTGTGTGTGTGTGTGTGTATAGTGTGTGTGTATAGTGTGTGTGTGTGCGTATAGTGTGTGTGTGTGTGTATAGTGTGTGTGTATAGTGTGTGTGTGTGTGTGGTGTGTGTGTGTGTATATAGTGTGTGTATAGTGTGTGTGTGTGTATAGTGTGTGTGTGTGTGTGTATAGTGTGTGTGTGTGTGTGTGTGTGTGTGTGTGTGTGTGTGTGGTACCGTCACACTGGGGTCCGGTCGGGGCGGCGATGAACCCGGGCCCACACACACAGCTGAAGGAGCCGTCAGAGTTCACACAGTGGCCCCTGACACACACGCCGGGATCTGCACACTCGTCCACGTCTGAAAACCACACGACACACGACACACGAGACACGACACACGACACACGACACACGACACACGACACACGAGAGTTACACAATTTATGAGACAAGGAGGAGGACGAAGAAGAAGAGGAGGAAGAGGAGGAAGAGGAGAGGAGGAGAGGAGGAGGAGAGGAGAGGAGGGAGAGGAGGAGGAGAGGAGGAGAGGAGAGAAGAGGAGGAGGGAGGAGGGAGGAGGAGGAGGAGGAGGAGGAAGAGGAGGAGAGGAGGAGGAAGGAGGAGGGAGGAGAGGAGGAGGAGAGGAGGAGAGAGGAGGAGAGGAGGAGGAGGAGGAGGGAGGAGGAGAGGAGGAGAGAGGAGAGAGAGAAGAGGGAGGAGGAAGAGGAGGAGAGGAGGAAGAGGAAGAGGAGGAGGAGGAGGAGGAGAGGAGGAGAGAGGAGAGGAGGAGGAGAAGGAGGAAGAGGAGAGAGGAGAGAAGAGGAGGAGAGGAGGAAAGAGGAGAGGAGGAGGAGAGGGAGGAGGAGAGGAGGAAGAGGAGAAGAGGAGAGAGGAGGAGAGGAGGGAGGAGGAGAGGAGGAGAGGAGGAGAGGAGGAGAAGAGGAGAGGAGGAGGAGGAGGAGGAAGAGGAGGAGAGAGAAGAGGAAGAGGAGGAGGAGGAGGAGGAGGAGGAGAGGAGGAGGAAGAGGAAGAGGAGGAGAGGAGGAAGGAGAGGAGGAGAGGAGGAGAAGAGGAGAGAGGAGGAAGAGGAGAGAGGAGGAAAGAGGAGGAGAGGAGGAGAGAGGAGGAGGAGAAGGAGAGAGAGAGGAGAGAGAGAGGAGGAGGAGGAGGAGAGGAGAGAGGAGGAGAGGAGGAAGGAGGAGGAGGAGGAGGAGAGGAGGAGGAGGAGGAGGAAGAGGAGAGAGGAGGAGAGAGGAGGAGGAGGAGGAGGAAGAGGAGGAGAGGAGGAGAGGAGGAGGAGGAGGGAGGAAGAGGAGGAGGAAGAAGAGAGGAGAAGAGAGAGAGGGGAGAGGAGGAGGAGGAGAGGAGGAGAGGAGGAGAAGAGGAGGAGAGGAGGAGAGGAGGAGAGGAGAGGAAGAGGAGGAGAGGAGAGAGGAGAGGAGGAGAGGAGGAGAGGAGGAGAGGAGGAGAGGAGGGAGGAGGAGGAGAGGAGGAGGAGAGAGAGGAGGAGGAGAGGAGGAGGAGGAGAGGAGGAGAGGAGGAAGAGGAGGAGGAGGAGGAGAGGAGGAGGAGGAGAGGAGGAGAGGAGGAGAGGAGGAGGAGGAGGAAGAGGAGGAGGAGGAGGAGAGGAGGAGAGAGAGGAGGAGGAGGAAGAGGAGGAGAGGAGGAGTGTTCCAGACGTTCTCACCTCGGCAGGTTCCTTGTCGGGCTTCGTATCCCTGGGGACAGGAGCTGCAGCTGAAGGTTCCTGCAGAGTTGGAGCAGATCCCAGACGGACAAACGCTCAGGTCCAAACACTCGTCCACGTCTGAAAACAACAACAACAACAACAACAACACAATAAACAACAGTAAAGACACAGTGTGGAACTTTCCCCTGCACGTTTCCATGGAAACACAAAGACCATGAGAACTTTCTCCATGGAGACAGATTTAGATTTAGATTTATTTTACAAAATACAACAAACTTCAACAGAGAAAAACTGCAGCAGGAAAAAAGAATAAATCTGAACAAATTCACCGATTCAAACCAAGAAAAGCATGAAAATATATCAACAGATTATTGTGGGACATGGCGGTGCCCGGTCGGGGGGGACATGGCGGTGCCGGTCGGGGGGGACATGGCGGTGCCGGGTCGGGGGGGACATGGCGGTGCCCGGTCGGGGGGGACATGGCGGTGCCCGGTCGAGGGGGACATGGCGGTGCCGGGTCGGGGGGACATGGAGGTGCCGGCGGGGGGACCGGTGCCGTCGGGGGGGACAATGGCGGTGCCCGGGGGGGGACATGGAGGTGCCCGTCGGGGGGGACATGGCGGTGCCCAGGTCGGGGGGGACATGGCGGTGCCGGGTCGGGGGACATGGCGGTGCCGGTCGGGGGGGACATGGCGGTGCCCGGTCGGGGGGGACATGGCGGTGCCGGGGGGGACATGGCGGGTGCCGGGTCGGGGGGGACATGGCGGTGCCGGGTCGGGGGGGACATGGCGGTGCCGGGGTCGGGGGGACATGGCGGTGCCCGGTCGGGGGGACATGGCGGTGCCCGGTCGGGGGGACATGGCGGTGCCCGGTCGGGGGGACATGGCGGTGCCGGGTCGGGGGGACATGGCGGTGCCCGGGGGGGACATGGCGGTGCCCGTCGGGGGGACATGGCGGTGCCGGGGGGGACATGGCGGTGCCCGGTCGGGGGGGACATGGCGGTGCCGGGTCGGGGGGGACATGGCGGTGCCGGGTCGGGGGGACATGGCGGTGCCCGGTCGGGGGGGACATGGCGGTGCCGGGGGGGACATGGCGGTGCCCGGTCGGGGGGACATGGCGGTGCCGGGTCGGGGGGACATGGAGGTGCCCGGTCGGGGGGGACATGGAGGTGCCCGGTCGGGGGGACATGGCGGTGCCAGGTCGGGGGGGGGACATGGCGGTGCCCGGGGGGGGGGTCGGGGGGGACATGGCGGTGCCCGGTCGGGGGGACATGGCGGTGCCCGGTCGGGGGGGGCGGGGCTGAGACGTCAGCATTTGCACTTGTCGCGTAATAACCTGTGTCTGACTCATCGGCGTCGTTTGTCCAACACAAAAACTCAAACGTCCTTTTGACGACGTCGACACAAACACGACTCCGACCCTAAAGTCACATTCTGAACAAATCTGTACGAAAAACGACAAAATAAAACCAGAGACAGAAACAAACTTCTTCTTTACACAGAATTAGGAGAAAAACATGATTTTAGTGTTTAGTGGCTTTTTAATGTCCCACTGTGGAATATTCCAGCCAAACAAACAACATTTCCACGGAAACACAAGCAGCAGGAGCAGTAAAGAGTCAGGTTTGTGGAGAGGCGAGCTCGTTCAGTGAGGACGAAATCCTGTGACTTCTACAGGACTAAACCAGGACTAAACCAGGTCTGTTACCGCTCTCACCTCAGTCTGGTCCTGGTCTGGTCTGGTCTGGTCTGGTCTGGTCTGGTCTGGTCTGGTCGGTCTGGTCTGGTCTGGTCCTGGTCCTGGTCCTGGTCCTGGTCTGGTCTGGTCCTGGTCCTGGTCTGGTCTGGTCTGGTCCTGGTCCTGGTCTGGTCTGGTCCTGGTCTGGTCTGGTCCTGGTCCTGGTCTGGTCTGGTCCTGGTCCTGGTCTGGTCCTGGTCCTGGTCTGGTCTGGTCTGGTCTTGGTCTGGTCCTGGTCTGGTCGGTCCTGGTCTGGTCTTGGTCTGGTCCTGGTCTGGTCCTGGTCTGGTCCTGGTCTAGACTCGCTCGTGTGAACCTCTCGTGTGTTAAACGCAGTTTTCACCTCGTTAAGAAGCTCACACGGTCCAAAAACACAAACCATGAATCACAAAGTTCACCTGCTCCAAACCAAACCACCGTGTGGTTTCAACGAAGACCTGACCAGAGCCGCAGCTTCTACACACGAGTCATTATGAACCAAAGTCACGAGAACAGAAACACAAACGTCCAAAAACACCAAAAACACCAAAAAACACCAAGAGCCAAACGCTGAGATCTGCTCCACGAAACAAACAAACTGAACAGAAGATCAGGAGAAACATGACAAACGAGTGAGTTTGTGTCAAACAAAACTCGACTCAGAACAAACCAGAAACAACATCAAGACAACAGAGGATCAGCTGTGACCAGACTGACCAGAGTGACCAGAGTGACCAGAGACTGACCAGACTGACCAGAGTGACCAGAGTGACCAGACTGACCAGACTGACCAGAGTGTCCCTGTTTCAGTCTGGGTTCTGTCCCTGTGTCCCTCGTCCCACAAATTTACACAAAACCACTGATTTATACAAGAAATGTCCCAGTGTCTCGATTTTGGACCAATCTGATCTAAACCAGGACTAAACCAGGACTAAACCAGGACTAAACCAGGATTATATCTGGGCTATTTCAGGTCTAAACTAGGACTAAACTAGGATAAAACCAGGACTATTTCGTGCTTCGTGCGTGTTTCGTTGGTGTTTCGTTCGTGTTTCGTTCGTGTTTCATTCATGTTTCGTTCATGTTTCGTTCATGTTTCATTCATGTTTCGTTCATGTTCGTTCGTTTCGTTTCATTCGTGTTTCGTTTCGTTCGTTCGTTCATTCGTGTTTCGTTCGTGTTTCGTTCATTCGTGTTTCGTTCGTGCTTCATGTTTCTTCATCGTGTTTCGTTCATTCGTGTTTCGTTTTCGTTCATGTTTCGTTCATGTTTCGTTCGTGCTTCGTTCATGTTTCGTGTTTCGTTTCGTTTCGTTCGTTCATGTTCTTCGTTCGTGTTCGTTTGTTCGTTCGTGTTCGTTTCGTTCATTCGTGTTTCGTTCGTGCTTCATTCGTGTTTCTTTCGTTTTTCATGTTTCGTTCATGTTTCGTTCATGTTTCGTTCGTGTTCGTTCGTGTTTCGTTCATGTTTCGTTCATGTTTCGTTCGTGTTTCGTTCATGTTTCGTTCATGTTTCGTTCGTGCTTCGTTCATGTTTCGTTCATGTTTCGTTCGTGTTTCGTTCGTGTTTCGTTCGTGTTTCGTTCATTCGTTCATGTTTCGTTCATGTTTCGTTCGTGTTTCGTTCGTTTCGTGTTTCGTTCGTGTTTCGTTCGTGTTTCGTTCGTGTTTCGTTCATGTTTCGTTCATGTTTCGTTCATGTTTCGTTCTTGTTTTTCGTTCGTTCGTGTTTCGTTTCGTGTTTCGTTCATGTTTCGTTCATGTTTCGTTCATGTTTCGTTCATGTTTCGTTCGTTTCGTGTTTCGTTCGTTTCGTTCATGTTTCGTTCATGTTTCGTTCATGTTTCGTTCATGTTTCGTTCATGTTTCGTTCGTTCATTCGTGTTCGTTCGTTTCGTTCATGTTTCGTTCGTGTTTCGTTCGTGTTTCGTTCATGTTTCGTTCGTGTTTCGTTCGTGTTTCGTTCATGTTTCGTTCATGTTTCGTTCATGTTTCGTTCATGTTTCGTTCGTGTTTCGTTCGTGCTTCGTTCGTTGTTTCGTTCATGTTTCGTTTCGTTTCGTTCATGTTTCGTTCATGTTTCGTTCGTGTTTCGTTCATGTTTCGTTCATGTTTCGTTCATGTTTCGTTCATGTTTCGTTCGGTTCATGTATTTGTGTCAAACTGTTCTGGTGAAGCGTGAGAATAAATCTGTTATTCCCTGAAATGACGTTGAGGAATGTTCGACCATTTGTTGTTGCCAAAGTGAAGCTGTCAGTCACTTTTACGACTGCAGTTGTTTCTGACCCTGTCCTGGTCTCTGTGTTTGACAGGAGCCTCGCACCTGTCGCCCACCACACTGTAGAAAAACTGTTCGTGAGTGTGAGTCTCAGTGTCGCTGCAGGTCGTGTCGGGAGTCGAGTCAGAGCTCTGTGTGTGTTTTTATATTTAAACCTTCAGAAAAAAACTCTTGAGGTCCTCAATTCTTTTTTTATACAGAAACAAAAAACTCATGACGTCAGTTTATGTTTCTCTTCTACATGAGCAGCTCCACCGAGACTCGACTCTTTCATATTCCACAAGAACTCGTCTGATTGGGCCAATGATGTTCATTATGTCTTCTTATATACTTTAACTTCTTAGGTTCTTTTTAAAGACAATGCAGTAAAGTGTATTTACCTTGTTGACATGTTTCGGCTGCTGCAAGTCATCTTCAGAACTGTCACCGGTGTTGGTGGTGACGTGTCGTATATCAGCTGTTGTTGCTTCCTGTAGGCGTGGTCAGACCTGATGGACCTGGCAGGTCGCTCAGACTGACCACGCCTCCCGTCGCCCGGTGTCTCTGGAAACACTGGGCGACGGGAGAAACATGTCAACAAGGTAAATACACTTTACTGCATTGTCTTTAAAAAGAACCTAAGAAGTTACTGTCTGATTGGGGCAGAGTTTCCCAAAGAGCTTCAGAGTCAAAGCGACGCCACAACAAACAACAAACAACAACAACAACAACTGCCCCCCGACTCGACCGCCTCCCTCCAAACCACGACAATCCTGCAAAACTACGATGGTCACGCCACAGTCGTCACACTCGTACGGAAGCCGAGAGGGTCACAACAAACGCAAACACCGCAACAAATACAAATGTGACAACACAACAAAAAAAGCCACAACGGAAATGACCGCGGGACGTGAAAAGTAAAGGAATGGAGAAGTTGGAAACGTAAGTAAAAGTAATTTATTGTTTTATCGTTATTCGTTTCACGTTGTAGTTCTTCTTCTTCACTTGCCGCTTGATCCGTCGGAAAATCGAGTCCCGCGGTCACTTCTGTTTTGGCTTTTTGTTGTGTTGTGTCGTTTGTATTTGTTGTTGCGTTTGCATTAAAATCGAGTCCCGCGGTCATTTCCGTTGTGGCTTTTTTTGGTTTGTTGTGTCGTTTGTATTTGTCGCGGTGTTTGCGTTTGTTGTGGCCCCTCTCGGCTTCCGTACATTCTCCTTTTACTGACACAGAATCAAGAACCTCCCGCCGCTCCGCAGATCTGCTCTCACTGCAGACACTGTGGACACACGTCGTTTTTTTTGAGTAAAAGTTGATGCTGGAACTGTGTGTGCTTTACTTTTTGAACAGTTTTGTTTACTGTTTACAACTATTATTATTATTTTTTTATATTTCAAACATTTGTTGCTTATTTGAGAATATTTTATTGAACTTATTCGAAATAAGAAGAAAAAAAATCGGATCTGTGTCACTTCAGGTGCAGACTGAACGTAGACTAAGAGTTTCCTCAGAACCTTTAGATGTTTGAATAAAGTTTAAATCTGTTTTTTACCGACACAGCGGCTCCCGTCCTCGTCCACACTGAAGCCTCTGGGACACTGACACCAGAAACTGCCCTCGGTGTTTATACAGCGCCCCCCAGAGCACAGGGAGGGGCTCTGCAGGCACTCGTCCACATCTGAAACACACGCCAACATTTAGACCTGGTTTAGTCCTGGTTTAGTCCTGGTTTAGTCCTGGTTTAGTCCTGGTTCAGTCCTGGTTTAGTCCCTGGTTGGTTAGTCCTGGTTTCAGTCCTGGTTTAGTCCTGGTACAGTCCTG